GCCGCCGCCGCTCGGCCGGGAACACCTGCGGGGGGGGGAGGAGGGGGGACCTCTGGATACGGTCACTGCTGCTGCCTTGTTCTAAGTTCTGTCTTCCAGTAACTCCGGTGTCACCGGCTGCGCTGCGCCCGTCACGGCACGGTGCGAGCGCTCTGCGCCCCGTGACAGATGTGCTCACACACTCGTTCCTAGTAACGCTCACCAGGCTGAGGGATACAATGGTTAGGAATTGGGCATCTCGCAATTCTTCAGTAGGAGCGGCTAGCTGCGTGGATGATCATATTTTTCTTTTCTGATTCTTTTTTTTTTTCTTAATGGAATACATATTAAAAATAAAATGGCTTTAATAAAGAAAGAGGAACTGGGGATGGAAAGGGCTTCTTTGTTCTGTCTTCTCCAGAACGTTACAAGTCTAAGAGCTCAGGACAAGAGCAGCAGAAATACATGCAACATGGTGACTGGTGAGTCCAGATTGTCCACATGCTGCAAGTTGTGTGTGTGTTTTCAGTAACCTCAGTCTTAAGTTTTATGAACTAACCGTATGTGCTCATGATCTTCAAAGAGTTTCTTGAACTTATTTCCTGGAAAAAATGCAGTTATGCTGAACAGGGAGGAATTACCTTCTTTTATCGGAGAAAGCTTATTGCCTGGACGCTCTTTTTTTATTTTAAAATGCAGTATTAAAAACATGCTGCTGAGATCTAGTGAGGATGGGTGTTTGCTGTTTCTAATGCGTGTCTGCGGGATAAATGGAATGCGTAAATTATTATGTTTTAATAACTAACAGTGAAAGTGGCGACTGCAGCAGCAAGCTGTGTGTGTTGCCCTACAAAAGCCTGTTGAATGCACCCTTGAGCCTTAAAGAGGTTTTCTGTTGTAAATGCAGGTGGGTTTAGTTTTAATAAATTGGGAGTGCAGCGTTACTTTCCTGAATCTTCATCTAGACCTGGTACCTCTGCTGCTGCGTAGGGTTTTGTGAAGTGCAGTTTTGAGTCATTCAGTGCTTTTAGTTAAATAACCCCAAGCAGCCTTCAAACTGACAGGAACGGCTCTGGGAGAAACTTAGTCCAGCCTGCACCGTTACCTGCGGTGTCTTTGGCTCCTTTCTGATTGCCAGAGTTGGAGAGCTGTAGAGAAAACCGAAGGAAGATGCTGCTGCTGTTCTGGAGCAGGAACAAATAACCACGTGGCACAGTGGGGTTCTGATCCATGCTTGGGACTTCAAGTGCTGCAGTGGCTCAGATGAGCATTTCACTGTTTCAGGCGTTAGTGGCTCTCAGAGTAGTGACTTCAAGCAAACATAAAGGAAGATTTTTCCGTGCTAGAAGAGAGGAGAAGAGAGATTCCTTCTGACAGCTTGTGACAGAGGAAGATTTGCTAGTAGGGGAAGACTGGCCTAGTAGGCTCTTGATGCTGATGCTAGAAAGAACTAATTAAGATGGAGCAGCCGAGCAGGGTCAAGGATTTGTATCTAAGAAATTCATGCTGTGTTTGTTCCGCTTTCTGGTGGTTGAAAGAGGTAGGTGACGGTTTGGTGGTGGACCTCTTCTTCTTGATCTTTGGGCCTGCTGCTTATTCATCTGGGTTTCTGGTGGCTTCTGGTTTCTCCTGCACAGGAGCGCAATGTACATGTGAGCAGCTCTTGATAGAGGGGCTGGAGTTCCAAAAGTAAAAGTGAGGGCTAATAGATAGCTGATCTCTGCTGATCTCCCTGCTCTCTCCCTTTGCAAGATTAACAGAAAGTGAATAGCTATTCCCTGAGCCGTTCCAACATAATATGCACCAATGCAGGAGCAAGGAAGAAGGCAGGACCTTTGCTGAGACGTGAGCCCATCCTATTCAGCAGCAGCTAACTGTCAAAGAGCATATAATCTCAAAGAGCACCTGTAGTGTTCACCTCTGGGTTCCCAGTGTGGCATCCTTGAGGCTTATTCTTCAGAAGAGTCTTCCCTCTGAAAGCTGTGTCTGCTAGTGCCCCTCAGAGTGGACATGCAAAATGATTATGCTGTTCTGAAAGCCTCGCTGTAGTGTTGAAGTCAACTATTTGCAAGTTCCAAGTAGAAAATCGGGACAAGTTAATCGCTCAAAATCCGTTCTCCAGCTTCAGAGTATGTAACGGAGCCTCTTACAATTAGATGCAAGATGCATTCGAGTGTGCCTGGCGTAGGTCCTGTCTGAGTCACTGAGGATGCATTAACAAGGTTGTTCTCTCTTGGTTTCACCCTGGACATACGGTCACCTGGGAAAGGGTTAATAATGTGTCCTGTAGAGGTGTAGAGTGGCTCCTGGAGGAAACCTCACTCAGCAACTAAGTCAATAGTCTTACTGGCTCTATCATGCAGAGCTGGCTTGAAAATGTGTCAGATCAGAATCTCTGAAAGGCAGGAGAATTGTTTTTCTGTCCAGCTGTGGGCGCTACAGGAGCTTCTGTATGCTGGTCTTTACAGAGTTGTTGGATTTACTAAGTGAACACTGTTAGCTGGTGCTTTTTACTAAATATTGATGCATGTTTTAAGAATATTTTCTGTAGAGCAAGACAGCAACAAATGTTGCTTAATAACTCCAGAAACTACAGATACAGCGCAAGTTGCCTCATGTGTGTTCCCCTTACCTTTGATATTCATTCTTTCTCCTATGAGCCTGGTCCAATGCACTAGCCATGAACCTCCTCCATGTAAACAAAAACTTCTGTGTGTTTAGGCTGCTGTCACGTAACAGTAAAGAGTGGTTAGAATTTGCTCTAGCTCCCACTGATGTTGGTGGGAATTGGAGCTGGACTTATGGGATATGTTTGGGTGCCACTGGGAGCCTAGAACTAAATCCCATTTTCACACAGGCTGTTGCAGTCGTATGTTCAACCACATATTTCTATCTTGGTTCCACTTGGTTAAATCATGGTAAAATGATATAAAAGGTTCTGCTTTTGTACCTATTCTCTTTAGAACTACAGTCATAATGTACATATAGTGATGTTTGTCCCTTTTTCCTCCTTTCCGCAGCTTGATCTAGTAGTACTGAATCACCTCTTCTAGTCCTAATCTTGTGCTGTTTCACATCTTTTCACAACCATCTCAGTATCTGGTAGTGTTATAGCTCAAATCTATTTTATCCTTTATCAAGACTAATTGGTGCCTTAGAAACAACCAGTATACTCACTGCAGAAACAATTTGTGGGTTTAAACAAGATAAGTCAATAAGAGAAGAATGCTGTCAGAGTATACCCTAGAGCTTTCTAATGTTCTCAGGTGGAGTCATCTTTTTTGTTGTGTTTTTTTTTCCTTGCTCTCACTTCCTCCCTGATCATCTGATTTCTTTTTCTCTCTCTCTTTTGTCTTCATACATGGCATGTTTCATGTTAACCTTTTCCTATGTTAAAAGGACATCAAGAACCGATGCTGCTGTTGCCTTTGTCATTTCCAGAGCTCTGCTTCTCCATGTGTGTAGTTCCCCGTTTGAGGAATCTCTTGTTTCCAGCACTCTCCTTTTGCTTGCTACGTTCGAATCGATAAGGCTGTTCTAGTCCTAATAGCAGTGGGCTGAATGCTGCATCTGATGCTCTTCTGTTGTGCTTCCCATTAGCTGCCTAGAATAGAACTGCATGGCCTGATAGAACATACTGCTCGGTTCTCCCACCTCTGTGGCTGTGAAGCAGGGCCACAGATAATTGATTTCTAAGCTTCTCTCACTAATACTGCATGCTGCAAATGAATGAAATGTGTGACTTGATTTCGTCTGTTATGGGACTCGCCTGGTCTGGGTGAAGTACAACGCTAGAAGATTTTTCATGGCAGTGAGCTCTTTGAATAGTACCACAAGTTACACCTGGTTATCGTTCAGACTTCCCTGAGCTGCTAAGGGTTAATCTGAGAAATGTGTAGTAGCACAAGATGCCTCGTAAAACTAAAGCATCTGTCTCAGGCATCTGGCTGTGCATGTTTGCTAGTTTTCATATGGTACTTGATATTAGTTACTGGAGTTGGTAATATCCTTGCATCAAAGGAGTGCTGTAGTTAAGACTTTAACTTTCTCTTTCCTTAAGGAACCCTAAGGACCTTGCAATATGAATAATTCTCTGGAGAACACCATTTCCTTTGAAGAATACATCCGTGTGAAGGCGCGAACGATCCCCCAGCACAGGATGAAGGAGTTTCTGGACTCCCTTGCTTCCAAGGGGCCGGAAGCTCTGCAGGAGTTTCAGCAGACGGCCACTACCACAATGGTGTATCAGCAGGGTGGCAACTGCATTTACACGGACAGCACAGAGGTGGCTGGGTCTTTGCTTGAACTTGCTTGTCCTGTGACAACCAGTGTCCAGCAGCAAACTCAACCAGAGCAGCAAATACAGGTTCAGCAACCCCAGCAAGTCCAGGTAAGTGTCTTAAATATTCTCTAAATGTATATATGACTTGCTAACCTGTGGAGTAGTGTTCAGAGCCAGCTACTATCTAACCTGAAACCACAGGCAAGCACTTAAGAAGCAGGGCCAATTAACTTTATACAGAACAGCACTATTTCCTTTTCATTTAAGGAATTTGGTAGTAAATTTCTCTCTTGACTGTGCCTCCATTGAGCAGGAGGAGTGGCATACATAGCAATGTAGTGGTGTAACCTATTGGAGAAATGGTTGACAGTTCTGGCATGTACACAGCTCCCTGAAGCCTTGCGCTCTGGGTGAAGCTGCTATAAATACCACCCCCCTCTGCTGGTCTTACTTTATCTGGTTCTTCCAGGTGGTCGTGGGATCTAACTCACCTTCAGGTTTTTTAAATGAAATCAATAATCTTTAAATGATTTTGCTTGAACGTTCTAAAAGTTGTAGTTCTTAAACTGACTTTTAAGTCGGGGGGAAAATGCAGGGATGTCAACTTACGTTATGAACCAGGGGGAGATACCTTTCAGGAAAGGAACTCTGAAAGATGCATATGTGTCAAGGTAGATTATCCCTTTGCACAGTGGAAGGAGTCTTCTCCAGGTTTTTTTAATAGGTATTACAGTAATTTGTATTAAGTATTAAATGAGCAAATCCAGTACCAGGGCGGGGGGGGATACGACCCAAACATATAACTTAGGATAACTGATTTGGTCCTCAAACACACGTCTTAAATTGAAGAGTTTATAGGTGGCAGGGCATTTACTAAGGTTCTCTTATGTCTCCAAACGGCTGAACACTCTCTACAGCTGTAATTCGATACACTTCAGATTTGAATCTTCCTGCCTTCTGTAGCATGAATGTAAAGTTGTGAGCTTTCCTCTTTTGCAACAAATGAGGGTATGGAGACACAAATTACTGGAGATAAGGTAGTGTGAACTTGCTGCAGTGCAGTAGACTTGTGCTAACAGCTCACTTGTGTGCTTTTATCCTCCAGCAAAGGCAAACCTACCTCTTTCACTGGGTAACTCCATCTCCAATTACTCTCTCTATTGAGTAAATGAATGCTCAACTGAGACTTCTGTAAGCTGTTGCCCTACACTAACTTGTGTCAGAAGGCTTTTGAAGAATAAAAGCCTCTAGTCTCGCAGACATGACTTGGATCTCTGCATGAGTCCCTTAAAACTGATCAAGGGTGCTTTTGGTTCTGCCAGCTAGCACATTTTTTGGGAGAAGTTCAGAAGGACTAGGAGGATTGGCTTTTTTGGGTGCCTCAGCCTTGAAGATGTGCAAGGCCCCCAGACCAATTGTAAAAGTCAGAAGGAATCTCTCTTTCCGCTCCCCCCTGCCCCCCCTACTGCTGCTTTCTTTCAGAACTAGTCAAAGTTCAGGCTTGACCCTTGCAAGCCTTCTAGTTACAGAGATAGGGAGGGAGGTCATATATCATATGCTCCAGAGAAAAATAATCTCCTGACCTTCTTGAAAATAACCATAGAGTTGCTGCCAGAGACCTGTTCCTGTTTTTTAAACTGAATGGCCTGCACCCTGAGGAGTATGAAAAATATCTGATGAAAGTCAAGGTTTCAACAGCTTTCCTAAAGAAAGTTGTCTACCCTCTCTCCCTTGTTTCTGTTGTGACTCTGCTTTAAAATACCTGCTTTCACATCTGTCAGAACAGATCATAATTAGTGTTTGTGTTGCTACCCTGCTGCTCACTTTAGGATGTTTCAAGCCCCCAGAACACTGGTACTAGATATGGCTGCAGCTTTTGTGCATCAGCAGTGCAGCTGGGTTCATGTGTATTTGAGCAGCTAGCTCAGAATTATCTTGAAGTGAATGAATTAGCCTTACTTTTTTGCCAGGATGGGGTGGAGAGGAATGTCTTTCCCCCTTTGCAGGAGTGTTTTTCTGTCTTTCAAGATTTCTTATGGAGATGTGATTTATGTTAAACCCATGATTTAGTGTTCACCTGTCTCAGGACTGTCACTGTGGCAGCAGTGGCAGAGCACAGTGTCTTGAAAAAAGCTGAATTTTGTTGTGACACTGGGGTGACAGTGTTCCACTAGAGCGGTGCACCTGATCCAGCTGGCTCGCTTTGCTAAAATACTGCTTGTGTTGTATTACGAGAAAATTTGGTCATCTACTGAAGCCTCTTAGCTTTTGATCAAACTTATGTCATCCCAGTACTTGACTTGATAATCTGTTTAGTTCTTGCTAATCCAATTGCAAATCAGTGGAAGACCCTTTGAATGACTACGCTTATGTCTGGCAGTGAGACAGTGGTACTGAAGGTGACTAATAATATGACCGGTCAGATGACCTCACGGTTGCAAGTGCTGATGACAACCTTATGATCATAAAGATAGACAGATGATGCTCAGGTTTCATCCTAGATTTTACTTGCTGTGACCAACCAAAGACAGTGCGTGACTGCTTGCTGCTTTTATTTATCCTGGCAAAATAAATTTCCTGTTTGAAGAAGTTGTCACCTTAGGGTTTTCTTGCCTAAAAGGTTCAACAAACTGTTGCCAAATGTTTATTTTAAAGGCTGAGTGGATGCAACTATTGGGTTATATACTAGTCAGTGCTACAGTACAAGTGTCTTGGAGCTCCTTCAATGCCCAGTATCACAGCGGTGCCATTAGTGATGTTAGTGTTTAGTATGTCAAGTTGTCATACCCTGTGCTGCATCAGGGGATGGTTGTGAAGGGCTGTGTTTTGCTCCAGTCAAGTAAGAGTTTTATCAGCTCTGCCTTTGGTGGGATTGTTGCTGGCTTGTCTTGTGCGTTGAGGCCATCAAATTGATGGTGCCAGCAAGAAGAGGTGTTGTTAGCACTGACTTGCTTATTGGATATGGTATTTCTGCAGAGGTCAGTAAACTTCTTGCGCCTCCTTCCTCTTCTGCAAGAAGATTTAACTGAAAGAATATCAGAGGACAGAAAGTATCTTTGCTTGGGATACATACAGTGCATGGGGGAAGATCCTCAGTTTCAGCTTTTTTATTGACAGTGTCTGATGGCTAGGTGGCAAGAGCTTCTTGGACAGGGCTTGAGGGGAGGATGCTACAGGTGTGCAAGATCGCAGAACTATATAGGGAATGGTTAAATGCCTGCATGAAAGGTCTCTCAGTTAAGGCTTATGCCTTTCTAATTGCTTGGTTCCTTACGTGTTTGCTGCTCAGCTTTTACTTTTTCAGTCTTCCCCCAGTGTATTCTGTGACTTCAGACCGTTATAGGAAGCTGGGCATTATTAATGACATAAGGCAGGGAAAGATGCCCTTAAGTATCTCAGAAGAAAATCTTATCTCTGGCTCTGCATAGAATACACCTTTCCTTCACTTCTGATGGATGCAGCTTCCCTGTGCCCCAGACTTGGTTCTGAAGGTTAGACTGGAGGTACAGCTCCTATTCGCTTACCTTTGAAAAGCATCCCAATAAGGTACTAGCAGCTAGTATTGATTAGCATTTGCTAGGGCTGAGTGTACCCCTTCAAAGAATGGTTATGGTCAAGAGTGGTGTTTTCAAGGTAGCACCTTCTTGTATGTGGCAGTAGGTTCCTCTTTGAGAGGTAAGCTGTTTTCTTTTCCCTGCTTCACGTGTTTTAACTGTCTTAGGCCTAAATCCTGCTGCAGTGTACAGCTTGACAACGTAATCTTGATATTGT